CCCCAAAACCCCAAAACCCCAAAACCCCTTATTACTATGAAAATCTTGAAATTAAGATGAATGTAAAATTTTTAAAACGCATAGACAACACTTCAGTGGATATAGCTTAGTTGGATTATTTGACAAATGACTGGAAGGAAGAAGGAGATAAGAATTTTCCCTATTTCGGATGCTTTATCAACTTAAAGATTATTTATGACTTTTAGGAGATGCAACTTAACCTTCTCATTATCTCATAAGAGTCTTTTAAAGCTCCTACTTTCTAATTTAGCTAGGACTAAGGTGTCTGAGGTAGCCTGGATTGTAGCTGCTCTTGGCTCTTGAGTAAGCAAAGCTCTTTCTCCAAAGTAATCTCCTGGATTATAGCTCATTACATTCTTGACTTTTCCATCGATCAACTTTTTAGCAATTGCTGTTCCACTCAGAAGGAAATAGAAAGAGTCTCCTGGATCTCCCTCTTTGATTACTCTATCGCCTTTGATATATTTGACCTTTTTGACTGCATCACAAAGCAAGACTCTTTCATAAAAGTCCATTTGAGTGAAGAAGTCAACACTTTTGAAGAACTCCTCATATGCTTCTCTGTTTTTCTGTGATGCATCTTTGACAATATGAGTAAAGGTTCCTCTATCTAATGCAAATAAGGTTCACTCGCCAATAGCCTTGATTGATGCAGCCCTTGGAGCATTATATAGTAAGGCTAATTCTCCAAAAGCTTCTCCTGGGATGTAATCTCTGAGCTTGCTTGGCCTCTTCTCTCCTTCTAGTAGCTTGAATCAATGGCATTTTCCTGAGTCAAGAACATAGAGTGTATTGCCAGAATCTCCTTGCTGGATGATCGTCTCATTTTTGTACTTGACCTCTTTCATAGCATCAATGACTATTCCCAGCTCTTCCTCGTCCAGATTATTGAACATGAAGCATTCTTTGAGCCGAGATTTGATCTTTTCTTTAATAACTTCAGATTTGGGGATCACAATCTTTTTGAACTCTTTCTTTTTGGAGAAAACACCCATGGCTTCTGCAGACACACTTGAGCGCGGAACTTTATCAAACCCTTTATGTGCTTGAAGAAGAGACTCCCTGGTGAAGGGCTCCGACTCATCTGAGGAAGAAGAGCTGTCATCTGTATCCTGGGGACTATCCTTTTGGCCTTTATTTAGACTCCTCAACAGTGAAAATTATCTGTGAGTTAGAATTACTGCTTTGGGACTTTCTGAGCTCCTTTCCTTGGTTTATTGCTTTCCACCTATCCTGGAGGCTCTTTAGTTCGTTCTCTTCCTTCTCTGTTAACTCGGGAGTTTGGTTCCCGTTCTTTGCTTCTAAGATATGGAGAATTGTTGGAATGGGGTCACTAGGCTTTGACTTGAGCAATTCCACAATGATTTCATCAATAGTGTCTTCTATTCCCTTTCCTTGAATGTAATCGTTGATTCTATGGAGTCATTAAGAGATCTTACTGTGAGTTTTCCATTAAGGATTTTATTTCTCAATTTTATTAATAAAAATCGGGGTTTTGGGGTTTTGGGGTTTTGGGGTTTTGGGG